TACCAAGAATATTTTCACATAGAAAGGAAACAATGAAAGACTGACTTGGATAGTGTCTTGGTTACTTTTCAATTACTAAGAATATACACCATAAAAATAGACACATGACTCAATACAATTGAATCAAACACACTAACATAAATCTACATACCTGTGAAAACCTGATTTTTGACAAAGAAGTCAAAAATATAGAAAGCATCTTCAACAAATAGTGCTGGAATAAATGGATGGTGACACAGGAGTCTGCTGCCTGAATATAACACCAGTAGCACAGACACTGAGAACAATTAATAAATGGGACCTCCTGAAACTGAAAAGCTTCTGTAAGGCAAAGGGTATAGTCAACAAGATAAAATGGAAACCTTCAGAATGGAGAAAAAAAATCTTCATCAACCCACATCTGATGAAGGGCTGATCTCCAAGAACTCAAGAAACTTGAAATTAAATATCAAATAATCCAATTTTTAAAATGGGGTACAGTTCTAAGCAAAAAATACTCAACAGAAGAATCTCAAATGGCCAAAATACACTTAAGGAACTGCTAAACATCCTTAGACATCAGGGGAATGCAAATTAAAAAAACTCAGAGATTCCATCTTACACGTTTCAGAATGGCTAAGTTCAAAAAACGCTAATGAAAGTTTATGCTGGAGAGGATGTGGCGTAAGGGTAACACTCCTCCATTGCTGGTGGGAGTGTGAATTTGTACAGCCAATTTGGAAATCAGTATGGCAGTTTCTCAGAAAATTGGGGCTCAATCTACCTCAAGATCCAGCAATACTCAAAGGATGCCCAATCATCTTACAAGGACATTTGCTCAACTATGTTCATAGCAGCATTATTTGTAATAACCAAAAGCTGGATGCCCCTCATCCGAAGAATGTGTAAGGAAAAATTGGTACATTTACACAGTGAAGTACTACTTAGCGGCAAAAAGTAATGACATCTTGAAAATTTGCAGGCAAATGGATGGAATGAGGAAAAAAAAAACATCCCGAGAGAGGTAACCTAGAAAAGACAAAGAGCTTCCACAGCCATGGCAGTCTGTCTTCACTACTACACTTTCGTTAATTTATCAGTTTTGCACATTCAACTAGTATTTCTTCTCTGGACTACACTATAACAAGAGGAGATAATTATATTCTTATTTTATCCTTCAAGTCTATAAGTAGACTTTAGAAAACCATCCATATTTACTGAACTATGTCACCACACAATCCAGGAGTTTTTTTTATACTAGATATTGTAATATCAATACCCAGAATATACTTATCTTTCCATGCTCATTACAACCTTTGATATCCTTAATGTTAGTAATTATGTGTCTTTATATTACATAGGGCCTAAGCTACATAAGAAGGACAAATGAATACAGGCAGTTTTATAAGGAAGAAATATCTGAGCTCTAATGTGACCACTCATGTGACTATTCTAACATAGAGTAGTAAGGCTGTTAAATCAGTAAGGAAAATTGGGGGCTAAAAATATACTGTTACATGAGAGTTTTATCTCCTTAGGGGCAAAGTAAAAGCTTGGTTCAACCAGTGCAGAAGGCAATGCCTAAGAATAAAGAATACAGAATTCCTCCCCCCCATGTTTCATTCAAAGGATAGATGACTGGCTCTCTGGAGAAAGTGGTATCATACCATCTCAGAATTTCTTAGAAAATAGATCCTGAGCAGTAATTTCAGACCTGCTGCACAATCTTTATAATTAGCGACGACAAAGTGCACATCCTTGCTCAGTTGTCTCGAGAAGCATAGTTATTATTAGGTATTACTCTGACAAGCAATTTCACAGAAAGGATGGGGTTGTAACATAGCTTCATTTCTTGGTGCTGTGATAAAACATCCCAACCAAAGCAACTTAATGGAGAAAGGGTTTGTTTGGCTCACAATTGCAGCGAATCTCATCACTGTCTGGAAGTCAAGGTGGCAGAAACATAACATAGTCACATTATTTCCACACTAGAGGGAAGTGTAATCAGTAACTGCACACATGCTGGCTCTCAGCTCACTCACCATTTCACTCAGTCAGGTTCAAGCCCATGCAATGATGCCACACACACACACACACACACACACACACACACACACACAGAGTGGGTCTTCCCACCTCAGTTAGCCAACTTATGAAAATCTCCCTCAAGCTCTCTCAGAGGCTCCTCTCCCAGTGAGTCCAGGTTTTTATACCTACCAGTTAGCACTAACCATCAGGGACTATAGTGAGGGTTACTCAGAGAAACAGGAACAATAGGGTAAACAGATAAGAGATAAATGACAGACAGACAATGAAGGATGCAATGAGAGAATTGGCTCTCAATTATAGATGGTGAGACTCAATCCCACAATATATTTGCCATAGTTAGAAAAGTAGGAGGTTGACAGTGTGGTACTGTTTAAGTTGGAAACCCCCAGGAGCAGTGAGGCCAATGGTGTAATTGTCAGTCTAACATTAAAAGCCTAAGAACTGAACAAGCTGATGAAGTAAGTCTTGGAGACCAAAGACCAGAGAATTTGAAGTTCTGAGTTATGGGGAAAATGAACATCCTGTCTCTGGAATAGGAGGAGTAAACTTGCCTTCTCTGAACTTGTGGCAATTGCTCACATCTTCCTTATTCAGTTCACTGGTTCAAGTTCCAGTCTATTCCAGAAGTATCTTTACAGAAATCCACAGAAATGTTAGTGTATTGGCTGTTTGTGTCTTAAGCCAGTCAAGCCAACATCTGAAATTAACTATCATGTGGACAGTACTTAAAGTCAGAAAAGGATAAATTTTCTAGTATACCAGTATGTTACAAGTTTGACTGTACATTGAAAAGACCTGGGAATTTTCTTTAAAAATATAATACTAGAAAACAAACCATTTCTACTTCTTATCAGTTATTCAAAATTTGGGGTGGTGATAGTCAATATTTTCAACTTGATAGGGTCTAGAATATCCAGGAGACAAGGCCCATCTCTAAGGAATTTTCAAAACTTGTTTAACTAAAGTGGAAAAAAGCCCCCTTAAACATGGGTGGTACCATTCTATAAACTGGTATATTTGGGTTGTCAAGACGAAAAAGCAAACTAAGCCCACCACTGACCTTTTTCTATGCTTCCTGACTGAGTCTCCTGTGCCTGCTTCCCCACCATGATGGATTGCACTCTTCCACTGGGAGCCAAAACAAGGCTTTCTTCCTTTAAGTGGCTTTTGTCAGGTGACAGCAACAAGATAGAAGAGGACTCTTTTGTAGTTTTAAGGCCAAATCTACATGGAAACTACTGGCATTTTGAATTCCCAGGGTCACTCAAAGTCTAGTCAAAGTCTTGAAACACTTTTAAAGCCATGACTGATCCATCACTTATTAAATACATGTGTATGTTGACTGAGGTTTCTGTCCCACCAGGTCCCACATCTGTTTAGTCCCAAATAAACACACAGAGGTTTGTATTAATTATAAACTGATGGGCCTATTAGCGCAGGCTTTCTATTAACTCTTATAAATTATATTAGTCCATAACTCTTGTCTGTATTAGCCACGTGGCTTGGTACCTTTTTTTGGCAAGGCGGTTATATCTTGTTTGCTCTGTGTCTGGATTCCTCTATGTCTGGGTGATGACTACAGACTGTTTCCCCTTCCCAGAATTCTCTTGTTCTCATTGTCCCACCTATATTTCCTCCCTGGTTGCCCTGCCTATACTTCCTGACTGGCTACGGGCCAATTAGCATTTTATTATACTACAATTGACAGGGTATAGACTATTGTCCAACAGCATGTGAATGTCCTAATCCATTTAAGTTTCTATAAAAAAATACCATAGACTAAGTAGTCTATAATCAATATCAGTTAATTTCTCATGGTTCTGAAGGCTGAGAAGTCCAGAATAGCAGACTTGATGTCTAGTAAGATTTTATCACTTGGTTCCTTTAAGATTCCTTCTCTTTGTGCCCTCACATGGTGGAAGGGGCAAGGTAGATCACTGGACTCTTCTATAAGGACACATATCTAGTGGATGAGGGTTCCTTCTGCCTTACCTCACCACCTTCCAAAGACTTTACCTGCTGATATCACCCTATTGGTGATTAGGGTCTCCACATTGCATTTGGTGGGGACACAAACATTCAGATCATAGCAAAGTATCTTGAAACTTCCATAGGAACATGACAAATTGTGTTTGTATATTAAGTTTAAAAATAAAAGAAAGATGTACCAGTGTAAAAAGAGTAGCTGAGCTCTTTGTGTGTTTATAGAAGTCTTCTGAATAGCTCAACACTCCTCTCTGGCAATGAAGCTATAAGATGTCCCTTCTTTAAGCCATTAACGTCTGAAACTGAAATATTAAGGTCAAGAATTAATTGATCCAGCAAAGCACTTCAGTGTCTGGGTAGCACAGGGTTAATAAAGTACGAGTGGGGTAGGTGGGGTTACAAACCAGGAACACATGCCCTCTAAGTTAGTTTGCCTTCTGTTTAATTGCCCTTAAAACACACAGTCTCTCATATAACCCAGAAGGTGAGAGCTGAATGAAGTTTTCTGGGTAATGGCTTGAAATGTTTTCCTTCTGAGAAGTGGTATTGAGTTACAGCATGCAGGGAACTGGGAGGAGAGAAGCAGGCGGCAGCAGGCAGCACCCTCCGAGCCCCACCTTCTCTTGGACTTGAAGGAAGGTGGACATGGGCCCTCCCAGACAAGATACAGTGAACTATCCTGTGACTGCAGTTGACTGCTCTGGGAGTCACCTGGGGCCAATGTTTACTAGGGTTTAGCCAGGGCCAGTGAGCAGGCATCCATGCTTTGCAGTGAAATGCCACGCAGGCAGAGAGTGACAGGCAGTCAGTAGGAGCTGAGCTTTTCCCCCTTGGACGACTGTTTCCTGCTAGGTTCGGGGGGGGGGGGGCTGGCTGCTGCTGCTGGTGGTGGTGGTGCTGCTGCTGCTGTTGCTGTCTGAATTCTCTCTCCACTCCAGGTAAGCAGACTCAGAGGGAGGGCACGCTGCAAAGCACGCCTTTGTACGATGAACAAGATCCGAAAGTTTTTCCGAGGAAGTGGGAGAGTCTTGGCATTTATATTTGTAGCTTCTGTCATCTGGCTACTCTTTGACATGGCAGCTCTCCGCCTCTCATTCAGTGAGATCAGCACTGGGATACTTAAAGAAAACATCAGGAGGAGGGAGCAGACAGGGATCAGATTCCAGCCAGACCAAATGAAGATCCTTTACAACAACATTCCAGGAATGAAGCTGCCCCGGAATGGAGTTTGGGGAAAGGAGAACTTTAGAAAGGCAGAGGACCACGCACTCAAGGTTGACGAGCATATGGACCAAGTCCAGAGGAGAGGGAAAATGCAGATCCCCTTGGGAAGGGGAAAAGCTGTACCTTTGTGGCATGCTGCACATCTGCGAACCCTCCCAGAGCCTCTTACTGTGCAGAAGACAGATGGGAGAGACAGCAAACCTAAAGCCTCCTCCCAGCATATGACTCCCAAGCAAACAACAGTTTCATCACAGAGGACCCCATCTGCGGCATCAAGAGGAACATTACTGACCAATATATCAGTACACACAGAAGCCTTTACTACAAAACAAGAGGCCCCAGAGAATCACACTCTCAGCAGGCAGGCATCAAAGCAAACATCTGAAAAAACCCTGAATGTGACCATCAGGGTCAGGACTGACAGCTCAAAGCAGCAGTCACAGACAGTAACAAAATCGAAGACACACTTTGCCAACTCTCCAATCCTGAAATCTGGGGAAGACGTAGCCATAAAGAAAACTGAGGCTCAGGGCAAAGAACTAAAACACAAAGCCCATAAAGTGTTACCTCTTTTTAAGTTTATCGCTGATACAAGTCGTTTAAAGAAGCAATCTATGAATGAGACACAGCAGGGAGGCTTGCCAGAAGATGATAACGCCAAAGTGGCACCAGGGAAGAAACTGAACATCTCAGAAAGCCAGGTTGTGGTTATAACCAAAGAGGAGGACCTGAGGACAGATACCAAAGAGGTGCCTGATTTTAAAACCCAAACCATCGTTCCTAAATTACTGGGTGGAAGCCAAGAGAAACACTTCCCCAGGAATCAAAGTGAGACATCTTCCTCTCTGCTAGCTCCACAGAGAGCAGTGTCTCAAGCCAAGCTGTCCTTAGCAGGGGCACTCCATCCAGGAAGAAGAAACTTGACTGCCAAGGCCCAGACTGTGGGATACCATCAAAACCACACAAATACCCCTGAAAACCCTGGAAGGCATCGTGTACTGAGAATAGATGTGACCCTTTCTCCAAGGGATCCCAATGCTCCGGGTCAGTTTGGGCGCCCTGTGGTGGTTCCGCCTGGAAAGAAGAAGGAGGCAGAACGAAGATGGAAGGAAGGAAACTTCAATGTCTACCTTAGTGACCTGATTCCAGTGGACAGAGCCATTGAAGACACAAGGCCTGCCGGGTAAGACCCATTGCTAGTCTCTTTTCTTGAACCCAGTTTTGGGCTCTCCTGTGTAGAGAAGTTTTCTGAAATTTAATTTGTGTGAATTTTGGCCACCTAGAGAATTAATTTGACAGTTATTATTTGATGCTAGCCAAATAATCTATCATGCACATAGAGAAAAAATATGATATCAGAAATGCGCGGGGTTCTCCTTTTATGCTCTCATCTCAGGTCCCCTCCTTAGGTTCCATATCCGTCCCTTTGTAAAAACCTCTCTAGATGAGTAGAAGCATTCAATTCATGATAATCTATACCTAAGTAGTAAAACACACAGAGTGATTCCACGCCAGCAGTGACAGAGGAGTAAATTATCGTGTTGGAAGTTCCCATTGGTTACAAGCTTATCAGGAGTGTGGCTGGGAAATGTTCACTGATAAGAGGTCTCCTAAAACTTCCTGAAATTAAATTGTAAAATATGAATAGCCATGAGTAATGATGACTAGGACAAGAAAGGGAATGACTTAATCTCTAAACTTAAAAGTCCTTTTGTTGATGAGAATAGCAGACTGTTGTGCACTCAGTCACTGAAAGCATTAACGCTGGAAAAAGTCCATCAAGGAGGAACTTCAAGAGCAGGCTAACAATCATCCCGCTAACAGAGGTTCTGCATTGACAGGATTCTACAAATATGTAGGCAAACTTCATGAGCTTGAGAAAAGAGAGGGCAGACACTATGGCCTGACAGTAGGTGAGGATACTCATGCAATTAGTGTCTTTCTAATTCTTCCCATTAGAAGTGTTTCACTTGCCAGTCAGTTGTGGCTCACACCTTTAATTCCAGAACACGGGAGGCAGGACAGGTGGTTCTCTGTGAGTTGGAGGCCAGCCTGGTCTACAGAGCGAGTTCCAGGATAGATCCTATATACTACAGAAAAACCCTGTTTCAAAAATTAAAGTGTATCACTTGCCCATAGTACTGCCTTCTAAAGGTCCCCAATGGACCCTCATGATCAAACAATTAAGCTCCTTAGCTCCATCATCTGGAGGTGTATGCAATCATAGACCTGATTAGAATGCAGGCTGTGACTCTCTTTGATGCACCTACAAGTGAGGCTACTTGTAGCCATATGTTTATTGCTCATTAATTACTAATACAGCTCTGATTACAACTTGATTTTCAGTTTCCTAAGTGAGCCAGTCTGGAAGCTGGAATCAAAAATGGCAAGAATAGGACTCTGAGCTTGTGTAGTTCATAAACAAAGGTTTTCTTTGACTTCTTTGGGAAATGTTTCTTTTGAATATAGGAAGTCGGGGCAAGCTTTTGGACAGGGTTATCAGAAAGAGAAGGCAGGCACAGATAAGCCTTTGCTCTAGGTATCAAAAGTAGCATCTTCAATGTGAGTTCAGTCCCAAAGAAAACAGTTCAGATTCTTAGCTACTGACACATCGTTATTGGCTGGGTCCCACTGACCTGTCTAGATGAGACTCACGTTCCTCAACTCAGTGATGCATCCTAAAGAACACAGTAATAGTCCCAGAGGACGAAGCCAAGGTCCTAGGAACTTCAGTTGTCTCTTATCATTGACCTAGTTCTTCAGAGAAATTCACATTCTCAAATCCCCTTCTGTCTCTTGTGCATTATCTTTCAAAAAGGGATTTTAAAAATTATGTTTCCCCAGCTAGCACCTGAAATCCTGCGTGTCTCAGTATTGCACGCTAACTACAACTTTGTGTAAGGAGTACAGGAAAATAAAGTCTCTTTGAAGGCAGCTTTGTTTAACTGTGCCCAGCAGATTGCTACCAGCCTAGGGTAGAATCAGGCAGGGCACAGAGCACGGGCTCCAACTCCAAGTAGGAGAAAGAAACAGGGTATGAGGCCAAAAGCGAGCACTAATGTCATCACCCGGCTGATTTATGGAAGGTTCCCGGAGTTTGTTCATTGATAATTTAGTTAGGGGTAGTAGAGTACTGAAGCCCGGGAAAGCTACAATCAGACTCTGTCTTCTGCGGGAGATTGTCCAGCTGTTCCTGAAACTGACACGTGTGCCTGAGCTGAGTCAGAGAGCGCAGGGCCAAATCCCCTCCCTCTTGCCACACAAACCACCTTGGCTAAATATAGGTGTGTCTCTGGGCAAGCTGCCTGGCTGATGCTTTGCCTGCTACCCCAATGTGATGTAGACGAGCCAGCCATCAGGAAGCCTATTTGTGAGACCACCCAAAGGATTTCTTGTCCTTTTGTGATACCCTTCCTGAAAGGAGGATAAATAAGTTTTCTCTCTTTTTATTCTAACTTTGAGTATAAATCATGCATTCACATGAATGTCTGGAAGAACAAATGAGAAAATACAAATGAGAAACACATGGGGCTATTGGGGTAGGCAAGACTTGGAGCAAGGGATTTTTTTGTTGTTGTTGTGGCTTCTTTTTTCGGAACTTTGATATTATTTTTCTTCAACTTTGATAATAATGTATCTGAAATGTCTTGCTCATGACTATAATAATATTTAAGGTGATACATTTCAGGAACTTATTATAAAGTATAGTAAGAATATATATACAGATTTGCATGTGTATGTGGGGAGAGTGGTAAAGAACAAGGCATTGTAATTTGCTGAAATGCATACCACTGTAACCTTTGGATTTCAGAACCTTAGGAATAGCTTCCTGATGTTTACATTTAGAAACAAAACTGCTATTATAGATCAATTAACACAGTAAGTGCCATATCATAACTTCTGTTGAATACAGACTCAAGAGGGATTAAAGGACGGGTTTGCAATGTTCATTTGGTTTCATTACTCTCAGTGCAAATAATGACTAGTTCCTAGTTAATAATTGAAGGCTAAATTAACTGCTATGCTAGGACAAGGCTGACGTGACGATGAAGAGACAGGCAGGGTTGCCAGGACAACTTCTTCTACGTTAGCTTTAAAATCGGAGTCTCTTTTCCAAACCAACTCTTCCAGCTTTTTCCAAACCCCACAGAGATGCTTCACAATCTCGAGGTCTTATCCAAAAACCAAGGATGCCTCTCTGCAACCAGCCTTGCACAGGCTGTGCTCTCAGGGCTATCTATGTTTCTCCGCCTCGCTGTAGATATCTAGTCTGGGACATAGGCCGTGTCTTCCAAGGTGGGCCCTCAGCAGAGGGAACGCCAGTCTCATGACACTTTAAAAGAATTGTAGGTGATGTGAGATTATGTGTATGTGTGTATGTGTATGCATTTTTACATGAGTGCGAACGTGTGTGTGTGTGTGTGTGTGTGTGTGTGTGTGTGTGTAGGCTTAAAGTTGATGTTGGGTGTCTTTAATTGCTCTCTTCTTCATTTATTGAGTTGGGTTCTTTTGCAGAACTCACTGACCTAGCTAGTCTAGTCAGCTTCCCCAGGCTCCCATTTCTGTTTCCTCGGTTCTGAGATTATATGTGTCCACTGCCTGGTGGATTCTGCAGATCTAAACTCTCATCCTCACGCCTACCGAAAATGAGCTTTACCAGCCGAGCCATCTCGCTAGCTTTCATGATTATGTCTTTTATACATTCTGCTCCTGACCATCCCCTGTTGGTTTTAATAGCTGATCTCTTCCCAGTCTCCCTCAGCTCTCCGCTTCCATGGCCTCACATGCTAATCCAGCATTACACCAAATCCTAGTGTAGCCTACCTGGACCAGGGCCATAACATAGCTGTGACCACTAAATTTCACTGGCGTTGGATGGATGCAGCCTTCTCTTTGCTGAAGCACTTTGGTTCCTCAACAACAAGAGCATCTTTTTGCCTTCGTGTTGAAGATCCAAGCTTCTGTAGAAACTGTTCTCAGTTTTACTTGCTTCTCCCCTAGGGTATAGCGCAGGACTGAGCATTCCAAAGACAAAGGTTTACACAATACTGACTTGAAAAGTATGTTTCTCTGAAATGGGGTATGAGAACTAATGCCATCGTGAAATGAATGGGAGGCATTAAATCAAGGGCAGCGTATTAATCACCTTACAAATTCATAGCTGCTTCTTGAGTTTTTTCATGTTGAATATATGGAACGTGTTATCATTTGGCTTAAGGTAACTATATCCTTCTTTACAGTGAGCTATCAATTACTTCATGTTTATTCGTTAGCTCATTTTTTATTCCTTTAGTTTTAATCTTAAGGTTTTGACTTTCAAGTGAGGGAATTGCTTTTGTTTAGTTTTTTTTTCCTTTCAAGAAATAAAATAGAATTTCATTTTTACATAGAATATTTACTTATCAAATATACCTGAAATCAAAGTTCTGTTGATAGTCCCTTTAAACTGCCTTTTTTTTTTAAAGTAAAACAAAGTGAAACAAACCAAAAAGCAAAATCAACCTAATCATTGAAGTCCTCCTTAGTTCTTGAAGTGTGTTTGCATCAGTACTAAGGAACATGCATACACACTTCACATATACACATACCACACATAGCCCCCCCTCCACATACACATACACACTTATATGTTGCTGAACCAAAGCCCTCTCCATCTAAAATACGTTAATTCTATTTGGGAAAGGCTTTCTTTAGGCCTAAAGCTATGGTTAAGATGGAGCTCCAAAAATGAAGTTACTTAGAAGTGCACTTCCTGAATTTGGACTTGTAGAAAAAAATACTTCAAAGAAGTTTTGCTGCCAACATTTTGTTATCAAAATACAATAAGAGTTGGGGCTGGAAAGATGACTCAGCACTTAAGAGCACTTTTTGGTGTTATTTATGGAAGATCCAGGTTCAAAACTTGGCACCCATATGGTGTTTATCAACCATCCATAACTCAAGTCCTGGGGAATGATGTCCTCTTCACACCTACAGGGGCATCAGGTACACACATGGTGCAATACATATATGCAGATAAAACACTCATACACAATATAAGACTTGAAAATTCCTGGTCATGATGCTCTCACTTATGTCTGTTGTATCATAACAGTGCTCAGGAGCCTAGCTTAACTCGTTGTTACTAGAGAATTCTGCCCAGCTTTCCCATGAAGTCATTAAAACCCAACTTTACTGTCTTAG